TTTTTTTTTTTTGTTTGGTAGATTTTTCTTTTTCTTTGCCTGCTTATTATATAAACTGACCTTTCTAGAACGCATCCAAACGGAGGTATCTAATGCTTTTACAGTAGAATGTTAAAAAATAAATAAAAATAAAGTAGCATATAGCGAATAAAATAATTCCTTAGCTAGGGAATAAAAACATTTTGAGTCCAGAGTTGAAAATGTCAATAGACTTGGCTTCTTTCCGGAGACAGTGGAAGAGTGTTCCATAGTTTATGGGCAGCAACGGAGAAGAATCGGTCACCATATGAAATGAGATCGTATCTCGCAATTATGAGATCGTACTTGTACTGGAGCGAGGGCTGCGATTTGTTTTCCCCCTCTTACTTAAAAAGTTGGCATAAAACGGCTTGGATATGAACAGTTAAAATGAAGTTTCAAAGAATGATGCTTAGCAGCGTGCTTAATCTTAATAACGTCGAATAAATGCCCACTGAAATAGAGAAGAGCAATACATAGAAGAAGGGCGTTGACGAGCAGATGGTGTCGCCATTTCTTCTTCCAAACCCTGTTGACTGCTATATTCATGACACGAGTCTGGATCAAGAGAGAAATGACATTGAAAACCAAGTCAATGAGTAAGCCTATACCTGCTCGAACTAGAAAATCGATTAGTGGTTGGTAGTTCGAGAAAGGCTTTGGTGTGCTATAAGTTAACAGATATACACAAACAAATCCCAGAGCGGTGATCAAAGCAGTCGCCTCTTGCATCATGATCTGGATGCTCACATCTGCAATAAAACGCCTGCTCCTTGGGCTGCGGTACTTTGGCTGTCTACTTCTCTGTCGTCGCACCAAGCGATACAAATACTCCCAAATATGATCTCTCATTGTAATAGTAATCCTCTCTAGAAGATCTATGATGCCATGGGCTATTCCAAGAGCTATAAAGAGACTTATGTTTGTCAGTTCTGCTTGAAGCACACGAAACACAACTGCAGAAATTCCATAAATCACGGCAACGAGAACGTGGGCCGTGCCAGGATGGATGATACCGTTCAATTTCTGCGCGCCGAGACGAGAAATTAACTTCGGAATGGCCGATAATAATGGACTAAATGTTGCAATCACGATTCTTTTTCTTTCGTTTTGCGTGACATAAAAAGGAAATAGCTTGTACACTAAGAAAAACGCCATCGGAATTCCAAAAATAAACTGCGCTGAAAACATGAAGAACAATGAAACAGTCTTCTTCAATGGATACGGACAAAAATGGCGCGATAAAAGAGAATTGTTGATGAGAATGACAAGACAGAACAGTACGTTAAGAGGGAATGACATCCAAGAGGTCCTATAGACACCATACATTTGACAGTAAAGTCTGTACGTTACATCAATAAAGGACGCCAATATGTTAAGTGAAATTAAACTTAGATTTCTAACCAAGGACAGTGGAAAGACCAACATAATGGTACAAAGGTCCCACAATTGGATGAGAAATCCTTCGACGGTTTGTGCAGTCACTCTAATGCGTTGGACTTTAACGGGGATGGAGTTAAAGTTAGAATTTTCCTCGTAGCACCGTTCTACGGTATTGAAATCGAGAAAAACAATAACGACCGCTACAAAGCCAACGAGGCTTCCTCCTAAAGTTTGGATGAGGAGAACGCTTTTAAGACACTCCCAGAAAGACTTCTTGAATGTTGGCCTACTTTCTTTCCATGTTTGAGGATCATTATTAAGGCCGCATTTTGGTGGATCAAATTCTTGAAAAATGGTATCTTCTTGGTTGAAAGATGTAAATTCTTCAAGCAATTCCGAGTCTTCTTGATTTTGATTGAGAAAAGGCTTTTCCATATCTTTGGAGCGTCTTAAAACATTTTCGTATGTTTCGGCAAGCACTTGTCCTGTACAGCTTTGAATCAGGTACACTATTGAAGCCAAAAACTCTGCTAACATTTTCTATTTTTTGTAAAAAAAAAAAATGAATGTTGTACAAGCTGGTTGTTTAAAATGATTTATAAACGTCTGGCCAGTTCTCCCACAGACGTTAACGGTTGGTAGCACGTGTTCATTTAACGTTAGACCGCGGATGTCGTACGATTTTTTGTAGTTCACGCAGCTCAAGCTTAATGGCACTTATGATAATGTAGCGGCGACGTTTCACTTTCAAAACCCAATAGATTTAGTAATTCCTTATAAGTTAAGGAAGTTGTTAGGCATCGTGGAGACGAGGTCACGTGATAGGTATGAGAATTTTTGTATAAAAAATATTTGTATATTGTAAGAAAGAAAGAAAGAAAGAAACCAAGAAACAAACAAACAAACAAAGTAGGTGAAAATAAAAAAGAAAGAGTGAAATTTTAGATTTTTTAGCCACGACTTTAGCCACGACCCATGACAGTTAGGCACTCAATTTTTGTCAGAATGCGTGGAAGTTCACCCCTTTTAAGGTAAAAACGCGCGAACAACCAAGACATGGAAATCTGTCAAAAATAAGCCATATTTTACTGAAAAAATGATTTGTTTCCATTTCCCCCAGAATTTATAAAATAACAAAACAATTAGTTCGCTTTTAAATTGTGTTAAAAAATTAGAAATTTAAAATTTAAAATTTTTTCCCCTAAAGTTGAATATTATTAAGCACTTTTAAAAATGAAATAAAAAAGGGGTCCCCGACTTTGTTTTAGAGCTATACGAGGATAAAGTTGTTTTTATCACAGCATTGGAATGACGACATCGCCATGAGCGCGCGCTCACTAAATTCGTGGGTGGAAACTATATAATAATTTATGGTTAATGCAGGCTCACACATTGATACCGAACAGGCCAACCATATTAAAGTTCATGAGTTTAGGATTCAATTTTTATAGAGCTGTTTACAGTCAATTCAAAAAACGTTGTCGTCGACCGGCTCAAGCCTACGCGACTGGACCGAAAGAAATATGGGTAAAAATCACTGAAGCGGTTAAATATTCGTTCTGAATTAATTGTTCCCGCTAGTAATAAGATAATAATGGCGAGAAACAATCCATCAAATGCATGTCTTTGGGTTTAGTGAAAGAAAAACAAAGTAGTTATGATTCAGTTCACAATTTCGAAAATATGAAGGCATTAATTTACGTCTCCTTCAACACTTCCCGCTCGCCTACGAAGGTTTGTGCTGTAAACCAGGCATAACTAGTCAGATAAAATTATGGAGTCAACTCGGCTTCAATGATTGCTATCCAGAGTTCCTTTCGGTCCAGTCGCGTAGGCTTGAGTTGGTCACGACAACATTTTTTGAATTGACTGTATATATAAGGTTACCACACTAACACTATAATTAAGGCCATTCTTTTCACTAAAGAATTAAAAACTCAAGTTTTCCACGATGAATTTAGTTACAACTGTTTATAGTGAGAGCACGTTACCTCATCTTTCATTTGACACAATACTGAAGCATTCGGTACAACAGAATTTCAAATAATGCGAAATCTTGAATTGCCCGAATAAACAAATTTCCAAAGTACCGAATTTCTAAATGATTTAACAACTGTTGAACCTCCATATAATAAGAACATTTTACCGTTTAGATTTTGAGATGTATTTCAGAAAGGAGATAACGAGTTTGAATGATATTTTCGTGACGTCATCCTAATATAAATTCTCCAAGTTCTGGTTCTGCGCATGGTCGTGCACAAACTCGCGCGCGCGCGTACAAAAACTATATGGAGCCACCTTAATACCGAAATTTGACTTAAGTATTTTTCATTTTCTTTGTGTCACATAAGTCGCGTGATCACGCCAGTCTAATATATATTTGTGTAGACGCCAACTGAAACGTGAAATAAAATCACCTTTTTGTCTGTCTACTCTGATACCATTAAATAAGTGAAAATTAGTCCCTTGCGGATTGAGGGTAGAATGTGAAGACCATTCGCAAAGCTATTCCTTAAACGAGAAAATTGTACAACACTAAAGAGATAACGTACAGTTTTCTTCTATGGAATTGACAACGCAGCTCTATGACGGACGATAATTACAATCGTTTTAGCAACACGTGCAGCTCAATAAAAACATGGAATCCTTGACTCCTAAAGTTTTATAATGAATATGAGTATATTTGCTTATTCACTATCGCTTTACTTTCTAAACGTATTTCTTATAATTATGCGACCTAAAGAGCCAAATTCCAAACTACTTCCGGCTATCACATTTTCGAGGTCTGAGTTCAAGATTTTTGATCACGGACGGAAGTATTTTGCATAGCTTCATCTCATTAAACATCAACGACCACATGGCTATTTTGACGACTGACATAATAGGTAAGTTACCGACAGAAACATGCTCCCATGAACTTGACAAAACAAATCATTATTAATAAACAACTAAAAGCTTAAAAAATGGAAAAGATTTTCCATCGTGGATGTATAAATCAAAGATTATACTTATTCATTTGTCTCACGATTGTGACAGTTGGCAGACTGCTGCTGCCAAATGAGGAAGACTAGCAGTAGCAGTCGAGACGTCGTGGTCCTCCCAGCTGCCACAATTGTGAGACAAATAAATATAGTATAATCTTTGATTATAAAACCAATGCGTAGTTCGTGCACTCGCAAGGTATAAGAAACACTCGACTACATCTCGTGCAAAAATCTAAAATAATAATTATATATATATATATATATATATTTAAATACAGCTGGGCCTTGCGACACACGGAGATGGCACTATATTCAAAAGGTTAATGTCCAAAATGTTTGGTAAGGCTACATGGCTGTGGCGCTGTGTACAGTTCGCGAGTGTCCAAAGATTGGGAGCCGCTGGCGCGCGCGTTCTGGCGCCAAAGTTCTCGCAAATTCCTCAAGAACTCCAGTAAAAGCCATTTTGGTCGTTTTTGTCCTTTGTCATCACAACATGAAGCAATATAGAAATACTCAATAGTAAGACCTTCTTTTCATATGTATACGGATAGGCCTGAATTTCTACGCCACTTCGTACTTTAGACCATTCTTCACAGAAAACTTGGGAATGTACAATTCCATGCATACCTTACAGCAGGATGTTTGGAATAGTCATACTTGCTACTCACTATCTCGAACAAGTGTCCACTAAAATATAGAATAGACACACAAACAAGAACAGTGTTGACGAGCAAATGGTAACGCCATTTCTTTTTCCAAACCCTGTTGACTGCTATATTCATGACACGAGTCTGGATCAAGAGAGAAAGGACATTAAAAACCAAGTCAATGAGTAAGCCAATACTTGCTCGAAGGAAAAACCCAACTATTATATTTTTGTAGTTGGAGAATGGAATTTCGTTATACATAAGTTGATACACGTTAACAAATCCCAGAGCGGTGATCAGCGCAGTTGATTCTTGCATCATAATCTGGATGCTCACATCTGCAATAAAACGCCTGCTTCTTGGGCTGCGGTACTTAGGTTGTCTACTTCTCTGTCCTCGCACCAAGCGATACAAATACTCCCAGATATGGTCTCTCATTGTAATAGTAATCCTCTCCAGAAGATCTATGACAGCATGAGCTACTCCAAGAGCTGTGAAGAGACCGAGGCTCGTCAATTCAGCTTGCATCACGCGAAACACAATGGCCGAAGCCCCGTAAATCACGGTGACAAAAACGAAAGCAGTTCCAGGATGAATAACTTCCTTTAGTGTCTGTGCTCCAAGACGAGAAACGACTTTCGGAATGGCTGAAAACACAGGACTCGCAGCCGCAATGACTAGTTTCATAAATTCGCTCTGTGCAACGTAGATGGGAAATATTTTGTAGACTAAGAATAAAGCCACAGGGATTCCGAGGATGAACTGTGCTGACAATATAAAGTCCATTTTCAATCTCTTCTTCAAAGAAGCTGGACAAAAGTGACGCGCCAAAGCATAGTTATTGATTACTATTACCATACAGAACAGAGCATTGAGAGGGAATGACATCCAAGAGATCCTATAGACGCCATACATTTGAAAGTAAAGTCTGTATGTTACATCAATAAAGGACGCCAATACGTTGAATGTCAACAGGTGAAGCTCTTTGATCAAGGAGAGTGGAAAGACTGTGATTATACAGAAAAAATCCCACATTTCAATGAAAAATCCTTCGACGGTTTGTGCAGTCACTCGAAGGCGTTGCACGTCGATGGGAATATCGTTAAAGTGTGAGTTTTCATCGTAGCACCATTCCACGGTACTGAAATCAAGAAAAACAATAACGACAGCTACAAAGCCAACGAGGCTTCCTCCTAAAGTTTGGATGAGGAGAACGCTTTTAAGACATTCCCAGAAGGAGTTCTTGATTGTTGGCCGGCTTTGCTTCCATGCTTGAGGATCATTCTCGAGATGAGAAGGTGGGTCAAATTCTCGGAAAATGGCGTCGTTTGGATCGAAGTTTGTGAAGTCCTCGAGGAGATCTTCAGGTTGTTCTTGCAGCAAAGACTCTTGTAGTTCTGTCCGTGAATGGCTTTGAATGATAACGACTCCAGTGCAGTTCTCCACGAGGAACGCAAACAAAGTTGCCAGAATTTCTCCAATCATACTTTTACAACGTATTCTATCAATGAATATCGTAGTTGTTGTGAAGAGTGAGTTTGAGATTTCCAAGAAAATCAAGTCAAAATTACACAGGTATCCCATCGTGACTTTATATGGAAACAAATAGCTACAACACATAGGTAGCCCAAGCAGACAAAAACATTGAAAAACTTGAACCATAGGGTTCCCGTATTGTCAATAGAATGGTCAGGCTCTGATGAGCCTAACTGAACAAGTTTAAAAACAACGAGATTGAAAGCAAACTTGTACGAACCAACAGTTTTACGTAAGGTGAGGAACGTACTTCATTATCTAATACTGCAATGCATGTTACTCGATAGAACACGTAGGAAGATCCCGTACAATTTGGACTTGTTTGCTCAAGACAACAGAATGTCCACTAGACAGACGCATCAACCTTGATTCATCGATTTAGTACTGTTATTCTCTCTCCTTTGTCTCGCTTCATGCTTCATATCTGCAAAATCAAAACATTCCGAAAACACTGCAATCCTGTGTACAGTATCCTGATATAATTCTCTCATTTATTCTACGCCAGTAGTTTGTTAGCATAGAATTAATTGTCGATACATTACTCGGTGTCTAAGGTTTCTGTAATAATCATCAACTACAGTAACTTATACGACTCAAGTTTATCAACAAAGTCAATTATAATTATTCAAATAAGGTAAAATGTGTCGACGTATTTGCAGCTATATTTCTACAGACTCTTAGATTCAATTTTGTGTACACTTTTCCTTAAAGAAAAAATATCGCCCTGAGAACCCAACATTGTTTGGCTGCGTTTTCAGTGTCAGAGGCTGGTCTTTGTATTGTATATTGGTTAACACATCGGACTAGAAGACCAGTCAAGCCGCCTCGGGCATGACTTTTTTCTCTTAATTTTTATTTACTTTATACACAATTGACCCATATTCGAACTTATTAATAAGTCTATTGCGTTTTGCAGAGCGCTTTGATATTGCGTGACACAGTCTGACAAAGTCTCGCAGATAAAGTAACCATTTCACTCTAAACTTCGAACATCGGTTAGGTATTTGTTTTAAAAATCTTTTTTTTCTTTTGAAAGCGATACTTCTTTATAAACTTTAGATTCTTATTAAGCTATGATGTTGCTAAGATTCAGTGTTCATCAGTCTTGAATGAAAATATTTGTTTAGTTGTCAATCAAAAATTCAAAGCAAAAAATAACAGAATAACGACTGCCCCGAGAGTATACCGAAGGCAAGCCGAAAGTATAAAGAAGGCATACCAAGAAAAAAATTTTTTTCTCAAAAAAAAAAATCTGACAGTTCCTTCCAAACCTCTGTTGTAGTGTTTAAAGAGTGAATATAACTAAGTTTCGTCGTTGACATGCGAGGATTCTGGCCGGGAACCCTGCGAGGCGATATGCCGACACAACGTATGCCGAGAAAGTACGCCGAAGTTACGCCGAAAGCTAGCCGAAACTTGAAAATTTATATTATGATTCGCATGTGTTTTTCCTCCACTGAGGTGTTTATATCTTTATCAGATACTGATTCCAAGTACCATCATGCCTCCTCAACCAAGACTTACTTGGCGAACGTTTCTGACCGTAGAGCCTGTAATCTTCCTATATGCATACGGATTATTTATGAGCATGCCGACTTTCCAACAATACGTCTACCACAGAATAAGTGCTCATAAAGGTTTCCCTTACGCTCCGACCAAGAAATCTGGTTGTGCTGCTAAAGACAATATGAACTCGACACTCAAGAGCTTAGAGGATGAGGTACGGTGCAATTACCCAGTTTGTCACTAGGACCAAGAGAGCAAGAGCTCCCGGGATAATGTGAAAAAGGAAGACGTTTTAATGAGCAACGTTGCCTTGTATTTCCTTTTCAAATTTAAGGAGAGTCGAGAGTTGCCTCCTAACTCAATAACGAAAACAATCCATCCATAAAATTATCACCCAGTTTATGGTAATCACTTCATTTCGGGGGTTTAAAACCTCTGATCACATAATTTGGTAGCCTTATTTGTATATGTACTCGATTATATATAATCTTTATGTCATTAGTTATGATTAATGGATTATAATAAATCACTGGAAAATAGGCAATTGCTTGCAAGAACAAAAGCATTAAAAAAAACATGAATAAAAAGATAAATTCGGTCTTCATATGATACAATGGCTGTCATGGGAATAGACGGTGTTCACGACGGCCACCACGTCGTAAAACAGCCGAAACAATGCAACGTTTTTGTATATTTACCAATGCGAAAATGTATTGCTTTACCCAGCAACATGGTCACAGTGAAACCCTCTTAGCCTATCAAAACTAATAAAACATTAAACACTCACCCAAATTTGTAGGTTCAGCTGTTGGCTTCTCGTTTTGACATCGCCAATGTCATGTGTCTTTCTGTGCCATCCATCGTGATGTCCCTACTTGTTGGTCCTTGGACAGACACTGGTGGTAGGAAACCAGGCTTGGCTTCTCCTGTCATTGGAGCATTCATCGAAGCATTGAACGCCATCATAGTGATGTACACCAATTGGCCAATCTATATGCTGTTTATTGGATCAGTTGTCAATGGTTGTTGTGGATTCTTTACTATCATGACTCAGACTGCCATGGCGTATATCGCTGATACGACCCCTGAAACAAAAGTTGCTTTGCGAATGGGTAGGTTGACCATGTACATCAGTCTTACATCAATTGCAATCCAGAATCACATCTTGAATTTTGCATCAATACCTATTTAAAACATATACCTCATATGAAATGCCCCGGCTCTTGCACATGAAGATTATGAACCACATATTTCGGAACGCGCGCACGTGCTGTCTGCAGTTCAGTATAAAGCACGCGGGGATTGACAGAACACAAGCATAGTAAGCAAGTTTTCTATTTCGTTTTTAAAATACAAATTAGAGTAACCGTTATTTTGGATACGAATGACAAAATAGAAAGTGCGCACTCGCGCTTTGTGCTTTCATACAGCACGCACTTCCAACCAATCAGAAAGCAAGAGTTATTACATTTTCTAATGATACTTACACTTGTATTGTATTTTATCCGCCTAGCTATCATGCAGCTAATGATCTTAATTGGTGGCTTGGTCAGTCAAATAACCAGTGGTCTATGGATCACGAGGTTTGGTTTCATCCCTCCCTATTGGTTCATCTTAGCCTGTCAATTTTCTGCAGCCATGTACGTCATTTTCATTGTCCCAGAGTCCAAACCTAAAACTAGAAAAGATCGAATTCCCTTCTTCAGCCTGAGAAGCTTGAAAGTCATCTGGTCAGTGTACAGGGACCCCAGACATGGATACAGACGAAGCTTGGTCTTACTGTTGATTGGAGACGGGATAGTTAGCTTATCCACTATGGGTCTAAGTGGAGTTATCTTACTGTATGTACTGAGAACTCCTCTTTGTTGGTCAGCAAATGTACTTGGAGGATTTATGGCGTTTCGTTTTCTAACCCAAGGTCTTGGAGGTGTTATTGGGATTGGTTTGCTTAAACGATGTTGCAGCGACCAGAACATTGCAAGGATAGGGCTCACATCTGTGATTGTCTCGCTCGTGCTTTTTGCATTTGCAAACAAAACGTCAATGGTTTTCTTGGGTAGGTAAGGTATAGATCTTCGGGTAAAGCTGGGTTTTTTTCTAGGGAGGGAGAAGGGTTAGGATCGAATGATAACACCAAGTATAGAATTGACGATTGTTATCATAATCTTGTTTGTTCCAAACATGAGGAAGATAAATAGTGGTCATTTAATTAATGGCATCGATGATGATGGTGATGGTGAAGATGATGGTGATAGTGATGATGATGACGGTGATGATGATGGTGAAGATAATGGTGATAGTGATGATGATGGTGGTGATGATGATGATGATGGTAATGAAGATGATTATGGTGGTGATGATGGTGATGATGTTTATGGTGGTGATGATGATGATTGTGATGATTGTGATGATGATGGTGATGCAGATGATTATGGTGGTGATGATGATGGTGATGATGGTGATGATGATGTTGATGATGATGACGATTGTGATGATGATGGGTGAGAAGTCATCGATGATGTTTGAAAGCAATCCAACAATAGTGGGAGTATGTTGTTAACTGGACACTATGATTTTGATCAGTCGATAATGATATATTATGATTAACACGAACATCCTTCTCATTAGTTCCCTTGGTGGGGTGTCTAAATGGAGCCGTCTCTCCAGTCATGAAAGGTATGATGTCTAAGATCACAAGACCTGATGAACGAGGTAAGAACCAAAAAAGAAGAGATTGTAAAAATATACTAGAGTTACTTCAAAAACGTTTGGTAAAGGTTTCGTAGCATTTTGTATAAAAATCCCGAACTGCACTATGGGAGATGTGAATGCAATCAGCAAAAGATCTCACAAACATGGAATTTGACCAAACTTTGTCTGCACGTTTCCCCGAAATATTTATTTTCCTTACAATAGTTACATATGAATATGATACATTTTAAGCAATATGCAACGAAACCTTCACCTACCCATTTTTTAAAGTAGCGTATACCATAGCCACCCTTAAGAGATGCGTTATGTGAAAAGCATTTCCTTACCTTTCTCTGATGTTCATCTGCTTGCTGATCTGTAACTATAGTCCTATGTCAGCAGTTTTTATTGCAAAGCTCCATTAGATGGTAAAACAAGGAATTGTATTTCTCAAGAAAATGAACCTGTAATGTTTGCCCTTGCAGTTAATTGTACTACTTCATTTGGATAATACTGCAGATCAAAACAAAAATCCATAATTATATATCAATAATAGTGATAATATGATGATGATCATAATAATAAGAATAATGGAAACTTTATTATACGTTATTCTTACAACTGTAAATCTCGCTTGTCAGGTAATTAACAATCTAATAATAATAATAATATCAATAATAATAATAATAGTTTCCTTTTTTTTTTTAATATTAGCAACTATGAATTTAGACACAACATATTATATTATCATTTATTAACAATTGTAATTAGAATTTAATTAGGGTTAATTTGGCCTTTAGGTTACGCTTAGCGCCCTATTGTGTATGACACTGCTGTCATAATAATATTAATGATGATAATAATAATAATATTAATAATGGAAATTTTATTATACGTTATTCTTACAACTGAAAATTTCGCTTATCAGATAGTTTACAATCTAATAATAATAATGATAACAATATTAATAATGATAATAATAACAATATTAATAATGATAATAATAAAATATAATAATAATGATAACAATAATATCAATATATAATAATGATAATACTAATATATAATATTATATAATAATAATAATGTGTTTAATCAATATTTTTTTACCGACAGGTGCAACCTTTTCAGCCGTGGCTGCCATTAGTACTCTTTGTAACTTCGTCGGTGCATTCTTCTTCAACCCTATATACATCCAATCATTGAGCTTTGGCTTTCCTGGTCTGGTGTTCCTCATCAGTGCTGTTCTGGCCCTATTTCCACTCATCAGTATGAGGTACCATAAAACAGATAGATCATTGGAGAGGGGGGGGGGGGGGGGGGATACATTTGGTCACTTCCTTTTCAGTTCATTATTAGTTGGCGATACATTTCATAGTAAAACAATGGAGTGAAAATAGAGCGTTTTCACTCACGTGACAAGGCAGCCATATTGGTGTACCAAACAACAGAAACTTTATGCACAGTATTTGCATAAAAATGGAGTTCAATTCTCAGAGGATAGAAAATGCATTGTTTGGTACACCAACATGGCCGCTGTGACGTCACGTGAAAACGATCTATAGCACTTTCGCATGATATAGTTCATACCATATACCCGTGAAAAAGTTAACTAACAAAATCGCTCAAATTAGTGCAAAGTTTTGTAGGTCTACTGAGGTCTGCTTAACTTACTAAATTGTGCAATTTCTTTCTTACAATCTAGTGTCATTTTACTACTATAGTCAAAATGCTTCGCGAATTTTCTATCTTATTTAAATTTGTATTCCCTCATAAGTATAGTAAGTCAATTGGTGCTAATTATAACTGAGCAAAAGAAAGTGTGCAAGGGATTCTGGTAGTTGTAGTTCAGTAATGACGCCGGCCTATTGGTGCCAAATCTCGACGAATAGTCGTATTCATACTGCACTTGCTTTATTTATTTTCTTCCAGCTTCATCAGAAACACCGAGTACTTCCCAGCTCCTACATCAAGTGAAGCTGAAACCTCTGCGATCGATGAGGGAAAGATGATTGAGCTCAACGAAAACAACATTGAAGAGGCTTCAGACGATATTGTAGCAAAGTCACCTGACGAGTTGGAAGTAAAGAAACCAATACAAGATTCTGATAGTACGAGCATTAGCACAAGCACAAAGTTGTAATGGAACAACGTCAATTTAGCAATAAAACATTTGACATTCTTGCCAAAAACCATTGCCCATTTTCATGAATAATAGAGCAAAGCAAAGGGGACTTCAAAGGGGGGTCTTTTTTTGTCATTTAAAGATTTCACCTGCCCCACCACTGCCATACATTATGAACGCACCCTAAGGTCAGTAAACAAAAGCAGAAATTAGAATAACAAAACGCGGTTCGAGGCTAAGCCCGCATACACTGGAGTTTTAAGAGTCGTCAATGCATTGGAACGGGCAGCAAGATCGCTAGAGCAGCTCATATCCATCACCATCACTTCTTCTGGGGTTGCTAGGATTAGATCCGAAAACGATGTTCCAACAGAGTAGGTACATGTTACGTCATAGCCGCCATCTTGGTTGACGATAACAAAGCATTCCTCATTAGTTTCTCTTGTTAGATCAACCAAGATGGCGGCTGTTTCATTGTTATTCATATCTCAAGGGGTTTTGAGTCACATGGTTGCACACACTCCGCTATAGTTACTCGAGGTTGTTTTTTCTCATATCATCACCATCTTTCGAGCCTGTTAGTGTTGGTCCATCCTGTATCATATATACATCCGCAGGTAGAAGCTTTATATTAAACGAATTTGTGTCTTTGTAAACGAATTGTATGATTTATTCAATAAAACCGCGAAATTTAAGAGACTTGCTCAGAATATTTTTGGCCTGTACCTATCATCCTCGCGCATAAATGGCACATAGGGCCTTCCTCTGCTTCTGGTTTCTCTAATAAACCTTGTGAGCGGGCTATCAGCCCTCAGCCCAACCCCCAACCTGGAAGACCAGTGGGATCACTCTTCGTCTGGCTCCCACCCTTCGACCTGTCCGGCATGGGTGGCCCTACCAGGAGTACACGACTCCAAACGGCATAGCTCTAGGGGTCATTGGAACACACAAACCGCCTCACCACATTAAGGTGGTGATCCCGATCGAGACGGAAGAAAATGCTTTATCTCCCGAAAAACGCGAAATTCGAAATTATCAGGAAATCGGGCTCCCTGTGGTTTACTAGTGCCAGTCCCTCCCTCATCAACACAATTCAAGATGGCGGTTCAAAGAGTTTGTAAACTTATATTAATTGTCTTTCCATTTTCCTTCATCCTTTTCACATATTATCTCATCATCTCTGCTAAAAAAGATGCCCAGAAGAATCTCACTCTCAAAATTAACTCTCTGGCTCGCCAAAGATTTCAAAAATGCCCTTTAAATCATCATAACTTTAATGGAATTTCTGTGAAATGTCCGGAGAGAGAATTCATCCTTGAAGGATGGTTATCTTGTATGTCATGGCTAAACTGTGATAATATTGCTCTCGATGTGAGGATAAGACACCGAATAGGCAAACCAGGAACACTGAATGCTGTAAAAGAGGTTTACAAAGCAGATTGGTTTGGATATGATGTGGTTTATTCACGATGTGCTCATGATATGTTCGCTGAGGACTGTCTTCATGGAATCAAGATGGTCGAAGGATTGCAAGGCAGTCAATATGTTATACAACTGATTGGTATTTGTTATGAGAACCTCGAGGTATGTGTTACTGATTTGAATTATTCTGAAAAATAATCCGATTTACTTTCAAACATTTTATTTTGTTTCGTTTTGTTAATTTAAAAAAAAAAAAATCTAACTTGAAGTGTACTGTATGACTGTTTCTCCAAATCTCTAAGTTAGATTTTCTTTTTTCGCATCCTACCACCACCCAGTCATAAACTAATGCATGTGTGAATTATACAAATTGTGGTGTTGTCAAAGATTTAAAAATATTGCATGCCAACAATGAAATAATTTATCTCTTTGACCTCTCTTTGAAGTTCCTAGACACCGTTGTTGCAATGTCTTGCTTCTTATTTTACATTTGCTATTTTTCAATATCGATAAATCCATCAATTATTTGAAACCTGTACCCTACCCTCCCCTCCCCTCCCCTCCCCCATTCAGTTTTGATGCCACTGAAGGCCCTAACCAGGAAGATCTAACGGATGTCCTTTCTTGCTTTTGGAGAGAAAGTAAAAGGCAAATTCCCCTGACCCAGAAAAATATTAAATTCATGCCTCATGACCGGCTTCTTCTTGGTCTTTTTTTAAATAAACCAGCGGAACACTCCAGTTTCTAGTTCTCTGTTGCTCAGGGTTAGCTTTGACTTTGTGACATTACAGCCATTCTCAATCACACATGCCGCTCAAGCGATTGTTTCTGTCACGACAAAGAAGCTTTTGGTGGACGTCAATCAAGGTGTTTCCATGACATTCTATAGGCACGTACCCTTATAGCTTTGTGTTTTTCAACGTTATGGAAACACCTTGTGATTGATGTCCACCAAAACCTTCGTCATGACAGAAACAATCCCTAGAGGGTGCATGTGATTGGGAATGGCTGTAATATGTCCCAGTGAAGATCCATGGAATTTGAAAGTGTTTGTATTGTTGAAGTTGTGCATTCTTTACTTTACCGTTGGTATTTGTGAATATTAATTTAGACCCTTATGTGAGTCTGTAATCAAGGAACACAGCAGTAATTTGGAACTTGAAAAACGCATATTACAACCGAGTAAAAAAAATCCAGTATATAGCCATGTGTAAGGGTTCAAAATGCATGGAGTGGGGGACAATGTTTCAAATACAGTAGCTAATGTATTCTCATATCTCTAATATTATTTACCAGATGGTGACTGCATATCATCCATATGGTTCAGCTGACAATCTGGAAGAGCTGCTTAATCAACCAGAACTTAACAAGTACAACACCTTAAGCACAAGATTTCAACTGAGTATGGACTATGTATCAATACTTAACTTCCTACACAATAGTCCCCTTGGAATAAGAGTCATGTGTGATACTAATGATATTCAAAAAACACTTTCTCAGTACTTAATATCAAAGGATTTTCATTTGATTCTCAACGATGTTGATGCTCTTCCAGAAGTCAAGCATGACGAACGAAAGTTAATAAAATGTGGGAAGAGAGAGATAACTGGAAGCTTCGTTGCACCTGAGCAATTATGGCCTTTTAAGGAGAGAGAGTTCAATGACAAGGACATGCCTGGCTACGATGAAAAGATTGATATTTGGAGAATTCCTAGTGTGACAGACAGACTACTTGGGAGAGTACCAAATAGCAATGAAGTTAGAAAACTTTTGTTACAATTGCATGAACATTGCAGAAGAGAGAATCCTCAATCAAGACCAACTGCTGCAAAGGTCTTGCAAGAATATAAAGATATTGCAAATTTTGTTAACTTGGAGACTGTTAAAGAATAGTATTTTTTGAAAAAAATGCAAAGAATTAATTAATTAAAAAAAGATTTCAGCCGAATATTAAGCTTTTCTGGCTGACAGCACATAGTGGTCAGTGTTTGACCACCATTTGGAGCAGATAATGAGATTCAAAAACTTTCATAAGCTGGTTGAAACCCACTTAAATGAACAATTAGTACCAACACCTCACTCTCCCAGGGTTCGTGCTACATTTTCGTTTCAAAATTCGAGGACTTTTTAAGCACTTTTCAGGCACAAAAATTCGATTTTCAAGGACAAAGTTTTTTGTATTAGAACGTGGTTTAAACATTGATTCAATGTTACAGTGCAGCTAATTCAGCCGGGGCCACTAGCTTGATAAATAACGATCATGATGCACGCAACAGTAAACAAGCAACCAGAAACTCTTCAATCAATTTTAGTTGTTATTTATTTTAAAAGGAAAGTTAGAAATAGCATTAGTTTGCATTAATATCAAGGAGTATTCCAGGAGTTTTGGCATTTTTCCCTATTTCCAAGGGCTTTTCAAGCGCCCTTAAAAACGTGTTTTCAATTCAAGGACTTTTCAAGGAGTAGCACGAACCCTGCTCTCTCTGCCCAGCCTTGTTTATGTCACTTCAACAAAAGAATATTTGTTTACGATAGATGAATTAAGGAAAGTATTTTGAAAAGATGAACTACAGTAAGCCTAGTTGAGAATGTGAAAACTAAAAAATTTAAAACCTCTTAAAAAATAATGTAATGGCAAAAATGTTTTGCTGCTATTTGCAAAAATATGGGAACTCTGTAGTTAGAAGAGATAACTAGCTAAAAACTAGTGTGAGCTGTGTTGGTGTTTCTAATGAAACAGTGATGATAAAAGGATAAATTTTACACTGTGTAAAGATGATGTTTTGGACACTAGTCCTTCGTCGGAGTACAGTAGTTGCAATTTGCCCATTGGAATTTGGTTTTTCTCTGCTGACAGTCAAAAATATGAAAGTACCGACTGATTAGGTTTGATTGAGGGCAGCAAAAAAAAACAAATTTTGTTTTTGTGCAGCTCGAAGCTACCAAGTTTGCAGAAATGTTTCCCATTAAAAAACATCAAACAAGTCCAGATCTCACAAACAGAAATCCCGTAAACGAAAACAAGCATCAATACTACTGTAAAAAATCACAAAACAACAACAAAAAGATTTCCTATAGAACAAAATAGAACTAGCAAAGGGACTGTTCACTATATGTTGAGTAGATATTCCTGCAATTTTCATAAACAAGTGAATTCTGTGTCTGTGAGCTGCACAGAGTTGGCGTGTTTATGAAAATTCCAGTAATGGGGCCTTGAAATTTTGGTGACTCTGAAAAGTGGGGTCTTGAAAATGTTGAAAATAAAAGAGTTGCCTAAAATTGGGCATACTAATGGTGGTTGGAGAAAGAAAATTATCATCCGCACCCCCTTTCCCCCTACTCCCTCCGATAAATAATGAACAGTCTCTGATAGGCCACGTTCAAGATATTAAAATTCTACCATAGGCTATCTGGGATAAAATGTTGAAAATTGCATTTAGACTTATTATTATTATTATTATTATTATTATTATTATTATTATTATACAGCTTCTCATTAATCCCATATAGGTAACTCCAATTATTTTCTTAATTGGACAGGTCTTGTTGATATGGGATTAATTAGGCAGCTATATAATTAATAGGTAATGGGATTTCATGCTCCCCAATCAAGAAATAATTAGACTCACAAAATTCCTCTGACTGCCAAATTGGACTCAGCCTACGGCCTCATCTAATTTTGGAAGTCCTCGGAATTTTCCTCGTCCAATTATTATTTCTTAATTGGACAGCATGGAGTCCTATTACATATATATTCCCATTATTATTGTTATTATCATTATTATTGTTTTTATGAATCTTATTATTATTAACGAAAGGTAGGAAAGTCGTGTATTGTACAATATTATATTCCTGCCAATGAATGTATTTGGTGATCCGCGTGTTCATACCATACATGAAGTACCATACGACTAAAGCCTCGCTATCAAGTCTGAATAGACCTATCCCGAATTCGCTTGACTGACCACGAAAGAGTGGTTTGAAGTCGAGACTGAACTTGATTCTTTTATTCATCAAGTGCAACCTCGACTTGAAACCATTGCTTCTACCCAGTCAAGTGAATTCGGGTAGGTCTATTGCCCTCTTTCATAATGAAGTCACAGTTTGTTTACCTCAGCTAAAATGATAGAAATTTAGGCTAAATTTAAGCTTAATTCTCTTCTTTCGAGATATTTAGCGAAATATTTGGTTGTTCTCGCCTTCACCAGCTCATAAACCAAATTTCATTGTGATTTAAGATGTGTTGTTGTCATTCCATCCCCCTCCAGCGACCATGATCCCTAGCGTTAAAAAAATAGTTTGTTTTGATGTGACGTCATTATGAAATAGGGCAATGAGTCACTGATTATGCAATGAACATTTACATTAGTTTAGAATGTTTCAATTTAGAGGAATTTCTAAGACAGGGCCAACATGAACACAGACAAAACGAAGGACAACATCCTTCGTCTTCTTCCTCTTCTTGTTGTTCTAACAAAAAGTCTCTTTCAGAGGTATGTGAAGTTCTTTGTTGTATCACTGCATCATGTCTTTCACTTTTCTTAATACCATATTTGTTTCGAATTTGATCGCGTACTTTAGATCTTTTTGCCTCGGTTACCATATACCTTTGTCTGCGCATTTCTTCCTCTTTTTCTAACTCGCGTTCAATTCTTTTCATTTCTTCATCTGTCACTTGTTCTTCTTGGCTTAGTTGCTTCTCAACGTCTCCAATTGTTCCTCTCGCTCCAGAGGTAGCGCTTTTGAAGAGGTGTTTGGCAGCAAATTCTGCCATGTTAGCTCAGACAAATGATTCTCTATAAATAAGGAGATCTCCTAACTAATGCCTCTTCAAACCCTCTTTGTCTTCATTGAAGTTTATGATCTAAAGGAAAGAAAATAACGTAACATTAATAATATTAAATATAGTTAGTAGTTTTCAAGGAGCTTAAAAATTCACAATTAAATGTTGTGTAATGTTACCAAGCTGCAGCGATTTAAAAAAAAGAGTAACTGATATTTTCACTTTTTCTACCGGAAGCCGTATCCACGTGGAATGAATGGAGTTAAAGCAAATCTTTTCTCTCCTCAAGACACACAAAATCCCGGTATAAATCAACGTAGACTTCAAAGTACCTTTTTATGGTCATCTCTAGGTAAAAGGTTGTAAATTTAAAAAAAACTTATTTTTTAGCATACATCCTTACGTCCCTAGGTATTATTACTAATGTCTTGTCAAACAATGGTCACAAGATTAGACCAAAGGTTTGCAACTGTCAATATGAGTTTGATTCTGTCACGCTTATGACATCCGGCACTCGAGAAGTCCATGGGAAATACTCTTGATACGTGAATTTTTTTTCCTTTCTTTTTATCTACATTGTATTAATTTTATCTCTTTTCGACTTTTTTGTTTCTTTCGCTTCCTTCCGTTCTGTTTGTTTCTCTTTCTTCGGTTGTCCAAATTTCCCTTCCTTTTTCATTCTATCCCATTTGTATCCGTATGTTTATGCTTGTGTTTATGTCGCAGTGAGGACATCAACAGAGAAGTGAGTGGGCTTGATACGCTTAGCTGTGTTTATGCTTATTCTTATATGTCGCTAGTGAAAACCACGCTTATTACTCTCAATGAAAAGAAGCGACGTAAGCGCAACCCTGAGAACGGATTTTAATGTGGTTAAATGTAATTTAGGCTAAGTTAGACTCGAGGTCAATGACATCTCGCAGTAGCGTTGTCCGGACGCATACCGCTATCTCCGCTGTCAACGCATTTATTACCTCACGCGATCGTTGATCGACTCAGCTAGCAAGTTGTTTATAGCATGTCGCAATCTATTCTAGTCGATCTCTGTNAACGTGCTGGAAGGCACACGCTTTTCTTCATTGTCTATCAGGGATTGATTGACTGAAAGACATGTATCATTAAATTTTTTATTTTTTATTACCTAGGGCAAGACTTGTTGCATATCCCCAAGGTGCTTGAGCAGATATAAGACCTTTATCATAAACAGCCTCAGCAGTACCATTGATGTATCCTCCACCAACCCAAGTTGCTGGAAAAATAATGATGATGATGATAATGGTGATGATGATGATGATGATGATAACTATAAAAAGCAGCGTGGTACTCAAGCAGATGCAAAAGTCAATGCTGTCAAACACATTAAACATCGCAAGAATTTTCAATGTTCTCGCCGGAACCTTGATAAGAACTTTATTTGGACCTTGTCCAGTTGGATTAATTTTGTGCACATATCAATAGTTCATCAACATCCATTTTGTTAGAAAACGGTGCTAAACTTCGCATCGAAGGAAGCCATTTCATTTATTTTAATTTATTTCTTTTGCACCTGATTTTGTTATGATTACTAGTTGTGTTTTTTTCTTTTAGTTTTTCTTTCTTTTTTTCTTTTTTAAAGATTATTCGCAAGTTCTTAATATATCCTGCATTACCCCGGAAAATCAACTCCCTTGAAATTCGAATCCCTATAAGCTCGATGCAACCAATTTTACAAAGATAGACAGGTTTTGTTTGAATACCGAAAGCACCAGAAAGTTTGGAATGTCGGGCATTCAGTCAATTCGAAAGTGTGAGCGGTTTTTTGAGTCACTCCGATAAATATTCCACAGAAGAGGTCGATACAAACGTACTTTCATTTTTGTCGCTCGACTCACGAAAACGTATTCATTCACAGCTTACCTGTCAAAGTAAAAGTTCCCAGTGCTGCTCCAATGGATCGTCCTGCCAGGATCGTCTCCTCTTCTCCTTGTTTTTTCTTTTGTGCAGCCCATATACCAAGTCCAAGTATGATTAAATAAAAAACGATAATGCCCACTACTCCAGCAATAAAAACAGCCATCTATTTAAATAGAMAGGAATATACTAATATGTACTGTAAAATGGATAGAGGTGAAGGAAAAACAGACTATATTTAACGCTTGTGGTTCTTACAAACCCTTCCAACATTCCATATTCAGCGGCTCTTGGATACTCGTTAAGTTTCTTGGATACAGTTCAGTTTCCCGTTAGATTATAGTTGATACCACTAGCTTCAGAATCATTTTTAGTGAGTTCGTTTTATGGCCCTATCTTAGGACCTCCAATTGAACTAGACCATTTTGCTAAAATAATTTGTAGAAGCGAGGCTAGTATGCCAATATGAATCGTTTTTATTCAAGTTGCCCCGCTGAMTAAAATGTTGAATATTGATCATCGTTACTTTGCTCTAAATAAGGGAGGTGCCCCTACACCTCCTTGTCTAAATCAACTAACGATTTTGTGAAGCTGCTTGATAGCTTCAGTCAACGGCGCTTAACTACATTGGCCAATTGTAAATGTCAAGGATAAACTATCATGTATCTATCATCACTATCATTGTTTCTAAATAGACAGGCCATTCAATTACGTTCTTGCTAGTCTCATATATGATGTCCTTTGAGTTATTTTACTAGCTATGAGTAATATGCTAATCGAAGTATTATGAACATCCGGGTGGATGTAGTCCTGAGCCGAAGGACTGCATGTTTGATGTGACTGGCGTTTGGACAACCKGAGCGGAAGTCATCTTCAGAGTCAAGTGACGAATAAAATGTGGTTTGGCTCGCAATCGCCTGCAGCAACGACAAGTCAATCAACATTGCCACTGCAGTCAACCGCCCAGGACACACCAGGTACGTCCAATGTGTTAGTACCAAACTTTGTAAACACGTTCTCGCTCGCGAGCGTAAATACAACTAGTACCGCTAGMATAGTGACTTTGCCTATCCCGCAAGCTCGTTCGCCAGGAGCTGTCGGCGGTCATTCCAGCTCGACGACTACGGTTTTATCTGGCTCCCTCACGTCGTGAAAGACCTTCGCAACGCCAGCAGTTGTTCAGCCCCTTGTTATTGGACCTGGTGCTTCKCCGGTCCCGGCCAAATTAGTCACGCAGATCGTTAGCGGGAAGTTCCTTGATTTAGGAGAACTAATTCCGTTCAATTTGGTCGAGGCGGCAACCGAGCCACAAGCGTTCCTCGATGGTCATATTGTTTTGACTGCTTGGCCTAAGCGTAATAAACGCAAGATCGAGGACATAGTTACATGGATTGAGACATTCACTAGCTACACCCTGGTTATGTCTGAGTACTTCCACCACCGCTGGAAGGATCTATCGCTTTATAAGCTGCTCATCATACGCACGTACAGGCAGTTCGGCGGTAAAGMTTGGCTGAATTATGGTAAGGCCTTTCGAGAGCACGCGGCCGCGACTAGCCTTACCAACTGGGCTAACATCGACACTCAGTTGTATAGCTTCTACACGGCTGGTCCCGCTCATCGTGCTAGCATATCCCACAATGGCGATGAGGAGCAACCAAGGGGTTCAAACATTAGTGGTGTCATCTGTCGTTCATGGAAAAAGGGCAATGTTCTTCGCRATTTTCCTTGTGCCGTTTTGCCCACAAATGCTCTTCATGTGCTGGCCGTTACCGCCTCGTAGAGTACCCGGAATTCTTCAAAGATAAAACTGGGACGGAGCGAAAACGACGAACTCCGTCTACCGAACCTTCAGCAGATAAATTTAAAACTAAAAGACGCTAGCTTTAGGAAATGTTTTTATATCACGCTTTGTTAGTCGTTACTTTGTCTATCGGTCATGGGTAGCTCGTGTTTATGTTGTATCGATCAAGTTTATTAGCTCTTAGTTATCATGCTAGCACTGCCGTGACCAGAATTGCTTTTCTGGAGTCTTATATGTGATACTACTGTGGGTCTTAAAATTCCCATAGCGGGCCGTCTCTTGGCGTGTACTTTGTTCTGTGCTATCGGTTCGTGGCCCTAGGCGTTGTTTGCATATTTTTTCTTGTTATGTTGACATGTCACGTCATTTCATTTAGCGCTACTTAAAATGTCTCTTGTCAGTCCGTTTATCTCAACGAGACAGCGCGACGCGCCGTGACATTTTAGCTCTTATCTCCTGATGGCTCAGGTCATCGGCACGCCATAATCTACGCTCTGGGCTGATGTTTATTTACTGTTATTTCGCGGCTAATCGGCTTASTAAWGTTCACATTATTTGTATAATTCATTCAAAGTCTCTGTACCACCTGTTGTGTGACTTTGCGTATTCATTTCAGCGTTGTTTGGCCTCCCTTCTGTCTCCGAGGTTACCCCTCTCCGTGCGGATTGCTTTGCAAGGGAGCTAAAATTACACCCTGACCCAGTCAAGGTGGCGTACGTTTTAGATGGTATCAACGATAGCTTCCACATCGGCTTTCAGCACTCGATGAAGCTTAAATTGGCCAAAAAGAACAAACAATCCGCCATTCAAAATCCAGTGGTGATTGATTGCTATCTTCAAAATGAAATCCTTCGGGGTAGGGTTGCAGGGCCCTTCGTTCATTCCCCATTGCCTAACTTGCAGATCAGCAGTTTTGGAGTAATTCCCAAGCGCGGGCAGCCGGGTAAATGGAGGCTGACAGTCGATTTATCATCGCCCCCCAGGGGGTATAGCGTTAACGATGAGATCAACCGTGAGGGTTTTACGTTGCAGTACGTCACAGTTGACGATATGGTCAAAATGGTGTCCAAATTAGGCGTCGGTGCAATGATGGCTAAGTTTGATGTCGAATCAGCATATCGTAATATTCCCATCCATCCATCCGACAGACATTTATTAGGCATGCGGTGGAAAGACAAATGCTTTGTAGATCGTGCGCTACCTTTTGGCCTTCGCTCAGCCCCATTTATATTCAATTCGGTGGCCGCTATGGTGGAATGGATTCTAGCTAACAATTATGCAGTTTCACACTTAGTCCATTATTTRGRTGATTTTGTCATGGCGGGGCCCYCACGCTCGGACGCATGCGCACACAATCTCACCACATCTGTACGGTTGTGCGAATACCTTTGCCTCTCCCTGCATCCGGACAAATGCATCGGATCCGCTTCAGATCTAGTAGCCTTAGGAATAGAATTAGATTCAATTAATCAAATTGCTCGTTTGCCTGCAGACAAACTCTCGAACCTGCAGCAGCTGATAACCAGGTGGCGGTCGCGCCGACACTGCAACAAGCGCGAGCTTGAGTCGCTAATAGGCCACCTTCACCACGCTGCCAAAGTGGTGTGGCCCGGACGCACCTTCATCAGACGCCTAATTGATCTGCTTCGCTGCTTTCGCAACCCGGCGCATCCCATCCGACTCAACGYGGAGTTCCGTCGCGATCTGGAATGGTTGTACCAGTTTCTCTACTCCTGGAACGGGGTTAGCTTCTGGCTTTACCCCGACATCCCAGTCGTACATGACATAGAGGTGATATCTGATGCCTCGGGAGCAATCGGCTATGGGGCGTTCTACAATCAGGCGTGGTTCAACGGTCGGTGGCTTGCGACACAGACATCAGAATCCATTGCGTATAAAGAACTCTTTCCTTTTGTACTAGCGGTCCATGTGTGGGGGCACGAATAGTCGAGACGACTCGTGCTCTTCCGCTCAGACAATGAAGCTGTAGTGGCCATCCTGAACCAAAGAACATCCAAAGTCCCAGCTCTTATGCGGCTCCTCCGAAGCCTTCTGTACGCAGCAGCACGGTTTAGCTTTACATTCTCATCCGAGCATATCCCCGGAATCGATAACTCGATTGCTGATGCATTGTCTCGCTTTAATTGGCAGGAATTTAGACAGGTAGCACCTTCAGCGCAGCTACAAGCTACGCCACTGCCAACACATTTCATCGCATCATCGAGAGGTAATAGAYAAGGCCCTCTGTTCATGCTTCAAAATGGCCAATCCTTATCGCGCGAGCTGCTGTCCTCCTGGCTAAAACGCATATTTGCAGCAGCCGGTATACCAGGCAATTTCTCTAGCCACAGCTTTCGAATCGGTGCAGYTACAGTMGCTRCTCGCAATGGTGTCCCCGACCATCTCATCCAAGCACTAGGCCGCTGGACCAGTACTACCTATTTGTCTTACATCAGAACTCCTGCGGAGTAACGCAACAGTTGTCATAAACTCCTATACGACAGCAATGATAGATGAGATTAACAATTAAAAGACAAACTTTAACCTTTTGCATCTGTGTCTTGTTCGACGTTGCCCTCTCTCCTGTTTGTTGCCAGTTCCTGAGCTTGGTGCTTGGTGCACTTCAGTGGGAGGTCCTGGTTCCCTGTCCCTCTCCTCCAAGCACCTTGGAGAGTTCATTGGGTGGTGACAGGGTGACCATGGTTACCGCTAATTTGTGCCTGGCTCCGCCCATCCCACCGAATAWGCACCTAACGCCAAGCTCATCATTAACGATGAGTTTAAATAACTTTATTATTTTCACTAGACTCTGAAGATGATTTCCGCTCAGGTTGTCGAAACATCAGTCACATCAAACAGTCCTTTTCAGAATTACATCCACCCGAATTATCATAATACTTCGATTAACATTCGTTCATCCGGGTTCACACTGTTCTATGCAATATGAGTTATGTGAAAATCCTATGACAATGCTAGATGCTAATCCATACTAGACTTGATCTAAACTTAAAGTAAACAGATGCATTATTAACACTTTTAAAACAACGTTTAACCGAATTTAWCCTTGCAAAACATTTAGAAATCTGCTAACTAAAACGTCAACAGGACTGAATTAGGAGATTTCCCTGTTGACAGATATGTTTAACTTAGCTAAAAATAATTTTACAGGCAAAACTTAGCATTTACTTGGAATGTATATATACCTACAGAGAATAACTTTATTCCATAAATGCTTTATGTATATTTTCACAGAACAGCTTTCCGTAAATGATTGTCAATGTGATGTGTATCTTTACATAGAACAAAACTTTCCTTAAATGTTTGGTAACAMCATGAGTATCTTTGCATAGAATATCTTTYCGCAAATGATTCTATGTACGGACACACGGTGCAACATTGCACACAACAGGACTGTTGCAGCGTGTGCCCACCCCTGAAACTTGTTGCATGCAAATTGCTGCTTGCACCAAATTTATAACTGCTGACCAAATATCTTGGCATAGGAGGCTGACACAAGCGATGTTGCGTGATTTTGTTGCAATGTGTGTCACCCCGATTCAAGTTTGCTACTTGCAAAGTCGCGTGCAATGTTGCACCGTGTGTCAGCACCTTTATTGTCATGAGTTTCTTTTCCAAGAACAACTTGCGATTCTCGTAGATAATTCGTAAAGTGTCATAAGCAACTTTCCGTCAATCAGTCGTAATGGATATCTTTAGATGAACAAATTTCCGTAAAAGTTTTTTAATGGACAAATTACACAAACAGTTTTTCGTAAATAATTCGTATTAAATGAGTGTCTTTGCATGGACCAATTTTTCGTAAATGACTTGTAGTCCACCTTTTCGCAAAACAAAGGATCTGTAGTTAGTATCTTTGCATAGACTAGCTTTCCGTTAATAAATCCTAATGATTATATTTGCAATATTTTAACAAATAACTTTCCTTGAATTAATGATTCAATAAGTTCAAGGGCCCTTTTTCTATCCATGGGCATTATCAGGCGATATATATTCCAGTGAACCAAAAGGGTTGATATATTTTATTACACATTTAGGGTCGATATCCGAGTGATAAAGCCGTAAAATATAAACCATATCAGTATTTATGAGTAGACCTAAGTCCATATTTTTTTTATTACTTTCGCTAACATTCGGTTCCAGTCGCAGGCATCTCTTGATACCGTTCGTTATTGGCCGTATTTATTATTGCTCTTAAGCTTGCGAAATTTCACCTTGTGATATAGCTATAAATTTCCTTGTTGTTGTTGAAAACAAGCTCAGTATTAAATTTCAATTCAGAAAATCGAAATCGAAAAAAAAAAATCAATATTTTTTTCCAAAAGTAAGCAGAGGCCTTAAGTATTTATGTAAGAATATGCAGTATTCTAAGTATTACATTCCCAAATATTTACTTCGCCTAATTGTTACCAGGTGATCTGAGGAAAAACAATTAGCTAATCAAATCGCGAATCACTTTTTGGAAAAAAGATTCAATCCCATGCATCTTTGCGCGTCCAAATTCTTGATTTGCAGGTAGGAGGAAACAAAATGGCGTACAAGGAAAATACACGTAGAAATGTCATTATACCGGGATGTTAAGACTTTAAAATGTTTCCACTTTAAGTAATATGTTGTCCAGATGAGACTAGAGACCTTTACCTTCATCGTTCAGGTTATTTTTCATGGATGTTATTTAAAAAATGAACCCTTCTCGAATGAAACGAAACGTTCTCGATTTCTTGATAAAATGTGACCTCAACCTCCACATCATTGGCTGCTCTTGAGTCCCTGGAAATTTCCAGAATGCTTTCACTTTAGTGAAAGTTTAAAATAAATTGAAAGTGAAAGTATATTTGAAAGTGAAAGTCGCATATATATCAAGTGAATTAAGCGTGTGGTGGTTGATGGGATTGATTATTTTTTCAAAAAGGAAATCATGCTTTGCGCGCCTAGTCAGATCAACTTTAGCTGGCAAGTAGTCTTAACCATATTATTGTTGTTATCATCATCATTATCATTATTATTATCATTACTATTATTATTATCATTATTATTATTACATGCTATTTTTCTATAGATCATGTATACTGTTCAGATATATAGTTTTCTCCTAACATTATACTAAGAAACCTGATAACCTGGCGTGTTGTAAACAGAATATTACATGGGCGCTTGGAGATACGAAATTTATCTTCTCGTGTTGAAAATCTCTCACTCGTTCGCTGCGCTCACTTGTGAGAGATCTTTTCAACACTCGAAGATAAATTTCGTATTTCCGCGCGCCCATGTAATATCCTCTATGTATGTAATAGGACTCCATGCTGTCCAATTAAGAAATAATTGGAGAAGGAAAATTCCGAGGGCTTCCAAAATTTGGCAGTCAAAGGAATTTTTTGAGTCTAATTATTTCTTGATTGGGGAGCATGAAATCCCATTACCTATTAATTATATAGCTGCCTAATTAATCCCATATTAAAAAGACCTGTTTAATTAATGATGGTAATTGAACTGAGTGGAGTGCAATTTGGTCTGAAATCAAACGAGCGATTACAAAATCGCACGACCGCGTAGCGGAAGTGCRATTTGTAATTGCAAGTTTGATTTCAGACCAGAATTGCACGACACGAAGTTCAATTAACACTTAATCATATCCTTTTTGTAATCATACACAAATAAAAGACACAGTAAAGAGTGCAGAATAATCAATTTAATGTAGTAGAAGAACTAAATGCGAACAAACAAAAAAAAGAAATCTAAAAAATACATATGTATTTTTTGTTGATTTTGTTGTTTTATTTTGTTTTATTTTATCGTTTAAAAAATATATTTTTTAGGATGCGATTAAGAGCTCCTAAGGATGCAATTTGGGAATTAATCGCACCCCTTTGAACCAATCAGATTGCAGGATTTGGTAGTGATTACAAAAAGGATATGAAGAAGAAAATAATTGGACAGTTACCAATATGGGATTAGGAGAAGCTGTATAAGTAGATAACAAAATTGGCATGCCTGGGCATAATCCCTAAGCTTTCTTCTTTAAACCGTATTCCGTCGGATTATTTATAAGATATCGATAGAGTTTCATGAATAATACTGCACTTTGACATGTTTTGACAAAAAAAAAAAGAATAACTTTCTCGTTATTCAGCCACATACCAAAGTGGAGACAATGTCAAATATATCTTGTCATGTATGAATGCGGGAGGATGAATTTTAATGCATCAAAATAATTTTATTCCGCACAAGAGCGTTATAGATTCAAAATGTACATTCTTTGGAAACGTCGAACTTTCCATGCACTRAACTCATTAAAAACAATGGATATCAGTTGATAATGAGGCGGCATTCTTTGATGTAATTAAATTCGGTGCATGGAAAGTACGACGTTTGCCCTAGGCCTTAGGGTTTCAAATAAGCAAACAAAATAAAAATAAAAAAAAAATAAAAAAAAGGTTGAACTGAACGCAGCGATCATAATCTGTATTGTCATAACAATTTCTTTCACCTTTGAACGTAAGGAAAACTTAGGACGCGCACGGAGAATAACAGCCAAGAATAAAAACGATAACACTTTTTTCTCTCGCACAAATACACAATATAGATAATTTGAAAATAGACCCGTGCATGTAATGTCAAAGCAGCTCAAAGCAGCTTGTTTTGAGGACAAAACAAAACAATTTCAATCTCACGATGATATCTAAACCTATTGTTATGTCCTTCAAATTGAGCAGCACTCCGACGTGCTTCAAGGGGTACACAAGACACACAAGATACATACAGTGCTTGCGCTTTTTGCTCATTTGCACCCCATAACGGTTTGTTATCTACTTTTCCTTTTAAGTGGCTACAACCCTTTGAGCGTAGTTTTCACGAGTGACATAAGCATAAGCATAAGCACAGACATAAGCGTATCAAGCCCACTCACTTCTCTGTTGACTCCTCATTACTGCACATAAGCACAAGTAAAAGCATAAGCACAAGGATCAAGGCAATCTCCTTTTTTATGCTTCTGCTTGTGCTTATGTTGCCTTATGTCATAGTGAAAACCACGCTTTATACAATACCTTTGAAATAGATTAGTTATAGAGTGAACAGATGATTGCATTGGGGTCGTTTCTTTGAGTTATGAAGATTTATGTTTCCAATATGTTAATAGCCATGAAGTATTTTAAGGAGTTATTGAGTTGTTTTGTGGCACTTCTTAAAACTGATCACTGGACTCTTTTTGAGTTGAGAACAAATTTGCAAGAACCCTTATGTGGGWGATTAAAACGGTGATGCTTTTAAAATGCTGTATTACAGTACCAGAGCAGAGTTGTTTATTAAATAAATGATCTGTTATGTTAGCCATGGTCACTAGCAAATTGGAAATATAAAACTTCATAACTTAAAGACCCGACACTCAATTGACGAAATATTCTCAACTATTCACTATCCAAACTGTATATTCTGAGTTTTTTTTATAAAGGATTATCGGTACTTTACTTACAAACTGCTGCATATGGATTTCTTGGAATCATGATTGACCCGATACTTGTAAGCTAAATCTGCAAGTAGTGTGGTTCYCGTACCATCTAAGTTATATCAAAGCAATATATACACGTACACCCATTCCAAAAAAATCGTTGTCCGAGCCAAAAGCAAAAAGCAGAGTGATTACCGATCATGGTCAGTATTTTGTTCTATTTTTTTGAAATGGGTGTAAGTATATGAAAGTAATCGTAATTCACGAACCTTCTAGCTTGCTCCGGTGCTGACTGTTAGTGTGCTAAAGTTAACAAAAGAAAAAAATGAGTTACGACGCGTCTCGACGACCGAGTTTAAAATAGCCATCGTTGAATGACTACTGCATTATGTTATATCATTGTGACCTCATTATTGTAACGTTATCATGCTATGCTACAATGCTATACCCCCTGTCGCCTGCACACGTCGTATTACAATGAAAAACCGTTTACTTTAGGTGCAGAMCTTCACTAATCCAAATCAACAATAAATCAGCCCAATGTTTCTAGATAGTGGTAATTTTGCGCTGGGATTAAGCGTATTTTTAACGTTGCTTTGATTTCCTAATTCCGCTACCTCTTAACGGCACTTCAAACTCTCGGACTAACGATTGCCACGCGCATGTTAATAGACCTTTTAGCTTAGATTAATTGTGTTCTCCATTCGGATCACGTTTCATTAAAAAAATCTAATATGACGATAAGCGGCATGTTTGTATCATGTAACATTAGGAATTACGCTTACTGCTTTGAACACCTAAATGAAGCATGTCTAGTTAATAAATAAAAAAATATTGCCTGTGATGTTTGAAAATAACAGCAGTCAACAAAATGGAGCATGCGTAGACATTATATTCTGTGACGTCTTCAGTTAGCTCCGCCCTCTAGACATATTAATCACATGGCCAGAGAGTGACATTTCTTGACAGCTGGTACATGCTAATTTATATATCGGACGGTAGATGGAAAAAGTATAGCAGAAGCCAGCAAAGGTTCTACAGACCCATTGGTACCGTTATACATTTTGCTCAATAATCAGAAAAAAGGAAAAATACGGAAGAGGAAGAAGAAGAAGAAGAAGAAGAAGAAGAAGAAGAACAAGAACAAGAACAAGAACAAGAACAAGAACAAGAACAAGAACAAGAACAAGAACAAGAACAAGAACAAGAACAAGAACAAGAACA